ATTATGTGAACTCCAAGTTGTATGTGTCTATGGACGGATGGTCTTAATTGTGGAGTCATTTATTTATGTGATGTAAAGTGTTCAGAATATATGTTTAAGGTTGTGCTCATGTGGAATGGAAATGAAAAGAAAGTTATGATGGTAATGATAAGTATTGAATGATTAAATGTAAGATATTCATGTTCTATGTTTTATTTTGGGTTGGGTTCATATAGAACCAACGATGAAATGAAGATATGAGGATAATGATATACAATGAATAATAAGTAATGTTTTAAGGTAGTCATGCCCCCAAGTAACTACCTGAGCTGAGCGTAGCGGGATAGCCTTCCGCGGGGAGTCCCGAGGTTACTTCTGATGGGTTGCGGGCTGCTACCCGAGGTCATCGGCGAGGGGTCAGGACACAAGCTACGGGCCCATAAAGTCAAGGAACAAGATGAGAAGAAAGAATGATGAACGAGGAAACCTCTTGGGGTTTGATATGTGAACGCTTATGTGTGTTATGGTGCATTTCATGCGTGATTATAATATATGTGTGGTGTATTAAGCATGGGTATCTATTTATGATTAGCTGAGATTCCTTAAATGTTTTTAGTGGATGAAATGGTGACTTACTAAGCATTATTGCTTACGAGAATTCTATTCTCTTATGTTCTCATGTATAGGTAATAAACAAAGTAAGGAAGTCTCAGAGAATGTATGGAGCTGGTGACAAGGTTTTGGCTGGGTTAATGGAGAACATCTGACTATGTACTATGTTTTACTTTTAGTACTTTGGTAATTCTACGGATTGTTAAATGCTTTTGAAATCCTGATCAGGTGTAATAGTTTTAGAGACATTTTTTTTATTTTGCATACCTTTTATCATGGTTATAAGGTTGGATTATGAGTATAAGATACAAAGTTTCATGACGAGACTTTGTATCTTTATTTCCGCTTTGTATATCGAGTCTTGTTATGTTTGAGTATCGTAATGGTCGTGTTGGAGACGGTCGTTACATTCCCACTTATAGAAGACGGCGGTACGGGACGTGGTCTGAAGCAAAGTCTCTGTCCGAAAGCGTTGAATGTTCAAGCCGGCACTCAGGGCCCACCCAACAGGAGATTGATGCCCTTTGTCGGTTTTGCGACAATTCCAAACGCAAGTGGAAGCCTGATTCGCGCAGCAGGAGCAACTTTGGCGAGCATATATGGACAACATGTCCAACGCATTTATGTCGGTTTTGAAACAAGTCCAAACCTCTAACCCGTCTATCATGATGCCTAGTCTGGAAGCTTTGCTTACCCCGACCCCTGTTCCGATGAACTCCCTGCATGATTCGCCCGAAGTTCGAATGGATGAACTATTTTCCGACATTAATCCAAATGGCGTTGTTGGCCTGGTTTAATGTCGTTTTTTGAATGTTATGGACATCTATTAATTTCATGTTATGGACATCTTCAACTTTTAATTTTCTGCACAAGTTTTATGGCCATGTCAATTTGGCATGTTGAAACATTCTTTCTATGTTTATATTGCACAATTCAATTTTATTTTACATATATTTCATGTTTTATTGTTCAATTTGCAATGATACATGTGCTTTATTACTGTTTGGAATGAATGTTTATTGGTGTATAAAATTTACTGTTTGGTTGAATTAAAAAAAACATATACCGTATATATGTACGTACACTGTACATATATACAGTATACGCTTTTTTTAATCTAATTACATTTGGCTCGGAAATAGCTGTCCCAATTATTGACACTGGCGTTGAAAATATGTGACGTGGAATCCGTACCAAAAACCGTGCCTAAGTCGAATCAGAGCCAAATGTTGGGTGAATTCGTTGAATGCTACGGAGTACAACACACAAAGTCCCACCCAAATTCTCAGCCAACGTTTGAGACGGAACTATAAAACTGAGCCAACACGTTTGGCTCGAGCTAAGTGGCACAAAATTCAGAACCGTGCCAAATCCGAGCCAAGACCGTTCGTCTGGGACAATTGTGAAGAGATTCATGCCTATACCGAGTTTTTTTTTGTAGTGTATGAATAGATCTATATCTTCTTCTATTTTATTAATTCACGACTAAGGTTTTAATAATATACTCACCTTGAAAACACCTTGAACAGTTTTCAATATATATATATATATATATATATATATATATATATATATATATATATATATATATATATATATATATATATGTTTTGGTTCAAATAAGAACATAATCTTAGGAGAAAAATGAGAATGAATCTGGACCGTTAGATTTACTTGAAGTGAAATTCAATGTGCATGAGATGAAACTGTAATGTGCATTAGGTGAAATTGAAATGTGCAGCACAAATGGTATGATACAGTGGCATTATGTGAAGCTGAATTGTGCATTAAGTGAAATTGAAATGTGCACTATGTGAAACTGAAATGTGCACATTTCCGTTTAATCTAATGCACACTTGAGTTTAAATTATTATTCTGCACATTTCAATGTCATCTAATGCACATTTCAGTTTCACCAAATGCACAATTCAGTTTCACATAATAAAATCCAACGGTCCAGATTCGTTCTCATTTCTCTCCTGGGATTCCGTTCTTATCGGAACCGCTCCCTATATATATATGTGTATATATATATATATATATATATATATATATATATATATATATATATATATTGAAGAAAGGAGAAATTTATTGAAACCAAATGCAAACAGTACAAAGAAAGAAAATACAGAAAAGTAAATATCAAGAAAATGAAAATAAAAGAAAGAAAAAAAACAATACATAGGTAGAAAAGACTAAAAACTACACCCAAGGAAATTCTCTTGACTGGGACCTAGTAGTCATGTTGTGCCGCCTTTTATTTTTTGAGATTTCCTGTAGATTTTGAGTTGCGTGTTTAGGTTTTCCGTTGACATGCAATTTTCTGAGGTGACAAACTTGGATTTCCTGCAGATAGCTCTGTTAAATTTTGATTTCGTAATTTCTCTTGGGGTTGAGATAGGGGGACGCCGATCACTTTCAGTGGCATGTCCCAGAAAGTCGTCCATGAAAGAGGATGAATCTGGACCGTTAGATTTGGTTTAAGTGAAATTCAATGTGCATTAGATGAAACTGTAATGTGCATTTGGTGAAATTTAAATGTGCAGCACAAAGGGTACGATATAGTAGACATTATGTGAAGCTAAATTGTGCATTAGGTGAAATTGAAATGTGCACCAGGTGAAACTGAAATGTGCAGCATAAAATGTTTGATGTGATGTTATTTTGGTTACTTTTATTTCGCACATTTCAGTTTCACCTAATGCACACTTGAGTTTAAATTTTTATTATGCACATTTCAATATCATCTAATGCACATTTCAGTTTTACCAAATGCACAATTCAGTTCCCCATAATACAATACAATGGTCCAGATTTTTTCTCATTTCTCTCCTAAGAGTTCGTTCTTACCGGAACCGCTCCCGATATATATATATATATATATATATATAGGGGAGTTCAAATGCAAAGTGTCTTTTATATGAAAAGTGAGAATTAATCCCAGCCACTAATCTAAACACCAATCTAAACATAGAATTAAGTTCGTATTTAACAAAAGGGGTTTTTCCGTCAATTTACGCTTTCAGTTATTTCGTTATTCCCCTGCGCACGTTCTCTGTTTCTTACGCACATCCTCTCTCCCCCTCTCTCTCCCAATTCATGATAATCGATCTTTCCAAAAATCGATTTCCAGATTTCCATAAAGCAGCCTCAACGATTATTTGACATCTAAGTTTCGTGTTCTTCGTCGTCTCGTTTGGTGTTCATCATCGTCGTCTCCATCGCAAGGGAAATATGGATCCTGGTATGTATTATTTTCTTACAGTAATTTCCATAATTGTTATTTACATGCTTCGTATTATTTAGATTTTTTTATTTGTATCCATTCAAACCTAGCTATTGTGTTGTTTCTTATACTCTCCGGTTTTAGTTTGAATTATTAAACCTATAGCTATTATTGATGCTGGACATATGTTTTATTCGAGTGTATTGCTATTGTATTAACGCTTCAGTAATCAAAATATGTATTGTGCCTTATTTTTATGCATTTTAGGTATGTTGTTTTTTAGTTTATTCAATTCGATCAATTGCTTTTAGTATGACTTTGATTTCAACTTTAGTTTATTAACACTAGTCAATATAATATTTCTTGATGTATTCATTACGAACCCATGTATATTGTACTGGTATTGTGAATATATGTTGTTATACTTACATATTTTGTTGCTACATTTTTTATTATATTTCACACGTTATATTCTAACATTCAGTTTGCTTTAATTCCTGTGTATTTTTCACTTTTTTCTATTCAGGTGGTGTTTGTAATTTTCAGATTTCTCCTGGCATGACCAAATACTGGATTCCTCAGTGTGATTTAGAAACAAAACCTATAATTGGCAAGTTCTTCAATAGCCTTGAAGATGCCATTTCATTTTATAAACAATATGCATCTTTATGTGGTTTTGCAATTCGTCTTGGTGCGGCTTCAAAGGCTAGAGATGGCACAGTTTTGTTGAAATATGTTGTTTGTAACCGTCAAGTGTTTAAGAATGACTCCACTTCTTTGAAAGATACCTGTAATGCTTCTTCTATAGACCCTTCCAGTGACAAATCTGGATTTGTTTGTTCTAAACCCCCTCCAAATGCTACATGTGAATCATCTCAATGTACATATGCTGCAACAAAAAAACCTAATGAAGTTGAAAAAGTTATACGTCGTCGCGTCTCTAGACGAATTGGTTGTAATGCTCGGATATGTTTTAAGTTCTCTGGTTTACGTGGGTATGTTGTTTTCTCATTCGAAGAGCGACATAACCATCGTATGTCAACTGATTCTTCAAAAGTGTTCCTAAAGGTTAACAGAAATTTAGATATTGGTCATCAGAAATTTGTTACTAACTGTGCAAAAGCCAATATTGGGACAATGAAGTCGTATCGATTGTATAAGGAATTTGTTGGTGGCTACGCAAACATTGGGGCAACTGCAGTTGACTTCAAAAACTTCAAAAGAGACCTCAAAGCGTACATTGAAGGTGTAGATGCTCAAATGCTCATCGATAAACTGTTTAGGAAGCAAGAGTTATGTTCTGCATTCTTTTTCGAGTATGATGTTGACGAGACTGATCAGTTGACCCGACTTTTCTGGTGTGATCCTATAGCAAGAAAGAATTATGCATTCTTTGGTGATGTCATTTCGTTTGATGCGACCTATGGGACAAATAGGTATAATTCTGTTATCTGCTAAATATTTCATAAATTTATTGCTGCTTTGTTGTTTGTTATCGCACTATTTCGGCATTCAGTAGCATTTTAACCGTCTGCACTAATTCTTTTTTCCCCTAGGTACAATATGATTTTCACACCCTTCACAGGCGTGGACAACCATAAGAAATGCATCACTTTTGCTGCGGGTCTTCTATCTAAGGAGGATGTTGAGTCGTATGTATGGATTTTTACTCGCTTCCTCAATGCAATGCATCGTGAACCTAATTGCATAGTTACTGATCAAGATCCTGCTATGCGTATTGCCATCGATAATGTTTTCACTCATGCACGTCACAGATATTGTATGTGGCACATTATGAAAAAGGTTACTTCAAAGGTTGGACCGGTTTTGAGTCATAATGAGGATTTCATGTCCAAGCTCAATTCTGTTGTTTGGACTAACTTCCTGGAGCCAAGTGACTTTGAAAGTAGATGGTTGTCTGTTATGAAAGAGTTCGATTTGGTTAATCATGAATGGTTTTCACACATGTTCTCTATACGTAAGTTTTGGATTCCATCGTATTTTAGAGATTTATTTATGGGCGGTTTACTTAGAACAACTTCAAGGTCTGAAAGTGAGAATAGTTTTTTTGGAGAATTTAGTAATCCACATTTCAGTTTGGTTGAGTTTTATATGCAGTATGAAAGTGCAATGGACTCACAACGTCATACAAATGATAAATTGAATGGGAGTTCTGAATGTTATGTTCCGGTTTATAAAACTCCACTTTCACTTGAGAGGCATGCATCTGAGCTATACACAATATCTTTATTTTATGAAGTTCAATCACAAATTTGTGCTGCGTGCTTTTCTTGTTCTGTCTCACGAGTGACACATGGTGATGGAAATGTCGTATATGATATTAGTGATGAGCGAAACAGGCTGTCCACTGTCATTTTTTGTGTTGAAGATAGCAATGCATCATGTACTTGTAAGTTCTTCCAACGTTGTGGATTAATATGTTCACACATATTTCTTGCACTGAAAGACCGTAAGCTAGATCAGATTCCAACTCACTTCATCATGTCCCGCTGGTGCAAGAAACATCGTCTGAAACCTTTGTTTTCCATTGATGATTCTATTATACAAAACTGTGTTGGCATGGAAGAGAATAAAGCTGCTATTAATCAGCTGTGGTCAGACATTCACGCTTGTGTTGCTATGGCAGAGACCAGCCCTCTTCTTCTTAAAGAACTAGCTGAATTTGTTAAGCAACATAAACAAATTCTCGTGTCTTCTGTTGATCCCCATGGGATTTCATCATCAAAGGATGGTGTCATTCAAGGTTTCTATGGGTCATCTGCACCATCTGAAGTGACTATTCTTGCTCCTCAAGTGTCCAAGAACAAGGGCTCTGGTCGGCGAATTAAAGGTGCAAAGGAGGTTGCCATAGATGAAAACAAGCGACCGAAAAGATTATGTCGTGCATGTAATCAAATGAGTAATCACGACGGCAGAAATTGTCCAAGTTTTAAAGGCTCTTAGTGTGTTGTTATACGTTTGTGAAGCTTAAAATTGTCCAATTTCATTAAATTTTGTCCTAAAATGACATGGGCGTGAAGCTTTTATTTCATACTGCACTGCTTTGTTTTATATATGTAGTGCTACATTTTGTAATACAGTTGCATTCTTACAATCACGTATACAATGTCTCATTTCATTCACTAATCTCTTTATGGGTATAAATATACATCTTATTCTATACTCAGTTTTGTCTAAGTTTTCTTTCACATGCCATCCATGTATTTTAGATATGAATGTCATTTGGAATTGTAAAACAACCTATATAGACATTTACATTATTCATCCAAATTCTATTGCTTTTATTGTTGTATTTACTGCTATTTTTATTAATCCAATTGCATACTTAACTCCTGCTAATCAATGTCTCATATCATTCACTACTCCCTTTGTTTAGTATAGTTATACGGAGTACATGTCATTGAAATTGTAAAACAACAGTATTTCAAAGCCAAAGTTTTGTAAACAAAATCACACATGCCAAACAAAAATTCAAGTAACACTATTTCAAACCTAAAGTTTTGTAAACAAAATCACACATGCCAACTAAACATTCAAGTCAAATTTCCACACATTTAAAAGAAATATCCAACAAACATTGTTTAATTTTCCTCCCATGTCACTTATTTTGCATTTGCCTTCCCTTTCTTCTCATTTTCTACCTTCCCCTTTGCATACTCTCGTGCTTGTTTAAGGTTTTCCATTCGCCTTTCGTTGATATCAGCTAGCACTATTGCAGCTGCATACTTCACTCTAAGCAAACCTATCTGCTTTTTGTCGTTCTTTTTTAGCTCAGTCTCCAACCTTGCATTCCTTCTCCCTTGTAAGTCTCCATGTGCCTCATGGCGAAAATTCCCGAATCATAAAGACTTTTCTGCACCCGCCATGGCATGTTCAACCTTCTTGGTTCCAATTTCTCAATTGCATCTCCCTTATTGTCGAGTCCTTTGCATCTCATTTTGTGAACGAAATACCTTTTCTGCACATTTATAAGTGAAATTAGCAATCATATAATACATATTGCTTCTCATCCATGCAAATTATTATTCTTACCAATCTATCTAAAGAATCTCCATATTTATCCAATGAACACGCCCTTCCTGGTGACGAGTCAAGAACATCCATCCTCCTAGTTTTCACATTAAAACTGATAACATACCAATGCTTAACTTGCATCACTGGAATGATAAACTGCAATAGACAGATAAATAGTTGAACAAATCTACTCATTCTTTCATTCAACTGCTAACAACAGTAATCCAAACTTACCAGATCCATGTCTTTTACCGTTGTCATTTCTTTCACCTCTTCCAACCCCAAATCCAGATTTCTTCCAAATACGTGATATGCTTCCACATCATTTAGTTTCTCCTTTGACGTATATAGCTAAAATATAATTATAATTATAAGCACACTAATATGAATGCTGCATTTTTTAAATCATTCGTTAAACTTACACATGGGAATGCCTTTGCAAACACCCGCCGTGGAGAATCTGGACTTTTAACTTTTTCCTTGAGGTTTAGTATAGTTCCCCATGCATCCATCACATTTTCCCCAATGTATTTATCTTCACCAAATGCCAATAACTCTTCACGTTTAACCTCAACCATATTGTACTTGAAGAGTACTTCATTCCTGTGAAACAAAAAACAGCTTTATAAAACAAAAACAAATGACATATAATTTTTTTCTATGCATTATGTTGTATACATGTCTGCTTTGTCATTGAGTAACGCCCACTTTCCAGCTGCCCTTTCAAAAGGTCCCCAATTATCATCTGCATCAACAACCCTGCTGATGTATGGAGACTTAAACACTTCTGTTGCTTTAGCCACTCTTTTTTGCTTTAAAGGCCCTTCAGTTTGCACTATTTGATCATGCACTCGCACTTCCTGATCTTCAACCCCCTGAATAGTTAATATGTTGGTACTGACTTTTACGTTTAAAACGGATATTATAAAATTATTACATTTACATTTATAATCCCATATCACCTCTACATCTTCATTTACATTTTCACCTCCTTGCACATCATGTAATAGCTCGCTTTCTTTCTGCAAAGCCGAAACTACATACTTAATTTCACATTATTTGGAATATTTGATTAATTTTAAAAATAAATATGTGTTATACCTCATTCACAACTTCATTTCCACCTCCTTGCACATCAACAAATACCTCTCTTTCTTCCTGCAAAGTCCAAAATACATACTTAACTTCACATTATTTGGTATATTCGGATACTTTTTAAAAATAAATACTTCCTCCGTTCTTTAATAGTTGCAACACTTTGACTTTCATGTTTGCCAACGCGCAACTTTGACTCTAATTATATCTAATTACGCATTAGTAAAAATTATAAAAAGTTAATATTTTGAAAATTCACATCAATAGAAATTTAATGACATTTTATACATAATAATTTGATTTTATATATTAATAGAAAATTGTGGTCAAAGTAAGGTGTGTGAATAGTGCAAATATCCAAATGTTGCAACTTTTAAGAAACGGAGGAAGTATGTGTTACACCTCATTCACAGCTTCATTTCCACCTCCTTGCACATCAACAAATACCTCTCTTTCTTCCTGCAAAGTCCAAAATACATACTTAACTTCACATTATTTGGTATATTCGATTACTTTTTAAAAATAAATATGTGTTACCTAACTTACCTCATTCACAGCTTCATTTCTGCCTACTACAGCTCCTTCTGAACGCATTCCCTTTGACATCACAGTATTGTTGTGAACCTCGTTGTTTTCTGAGTCTTGAGTCAAACCTAAACTGAAGCTTGGCATGTCACTTATTATCTTTTTATACTCTGCTCTTTTCGTCATTGCATTTACAATGTTATCAATTTCCAAAATATTATTTGGATTCGACCAGAACTGATCATCCCATGTAACTTCTCTTTGACTGCCTGGATTAGTTGTCGTTTTTTCTGGACTAGGCTGGCCTGTTAGTCCTAAAATACTCCTTGCAGCTTCTTGCATTTTCTGGAAATTTTCATTTCCCATTACATCTGCAGGTGCTTGTTGAACCATGTTGATAATTTCTATCAATGTTGTTTCCAACAGATTTATCTTGGAAGCAAATTCCTCCATGAAATTCTGCAAACAAAGTACATCAATCATGGACCTCATATCATCTCAAATACATTTTCATTGATCTCCTATTAAATTATATTAAACACCCAAATTGTAATGTATTATAACTATTCACTTTTTAACCTCCATCACGCATAGTACCATAACTTTAAAATTTTAAAAACAAATGCATTTTAATAAGTATTTTACTTTACTCTAACCAATAAAATTTAGTTTACTTTTACCTCCTTCACTTCCTCGCCTCTTAGATTATGTCCTTCAATAACAACACTTCTTTTCTCCTTCCTTGCACTTTTCTCTTTAGCTTTGTTCACATTTTCTTCCAAAGTCCTTACTGGATGATATTGTTCATCAACACGCCCCAACCCAAATCCACCAGCCTTTACCTCTTCTGTCTCTCTTGCTCGTAGCAGTGTTGTTGTCCACCCATTCCATGCGGGGATTGTCCTTTGAATATTTCTCCGAAAAACAAAAACTCGGTCTACATACAAAATCTGCAACATTAAATAAACACAAATTACAATTCACACATAATTAAACATTTTTTCATTTGTAGTAACTTCAAATTTCATACCATGAGAAACAATAGAGGTCCAGTAAAACTTTTCTTATCATTCTTCTCCCACACACGTTTCTTCTCAATCAAGGTTCTCATTACATAGTCACACCAATTCATTTTCTTGATTCTGTCCACGTCCACTAAATTGCTCAAGATTATTGGATTTGCATACCCATTTGATGTGCTATCCAGTAGTACAGATACCATCAACACTATGAAGTGTCTCTTAAACCACACTCCTCCCATTGTGC